TTTGCCGCACCCACAAAGGAGCTCGAGCTTGTTCCTCTGCTTAGTCCCGAGAAGCAGGTAAGCATAGGAACCAAACTGGGGGCCACCGACAGAGAGGAGCTAATCCACTTCCTCAGATCCAACTCGGACGTCTTTGCGTGGTCCCATGAGGACATGCCTGGCATAGACCCGCGGATTATGACGCATCGCCTCAGCATAGATCCATCATTCCGACCTGTAAAACAAAAAAGAAGACCTATGAACCAGGAGAGGAGTGATGTAATTGTTGAGGAAGTTAGCAAACTTTTGAAAGCTGAATACATAAGAGAAATTTCGTATCCCGAGTGGCTCTCCAATGTTGTATTAGTTAAAAAATCTAACGGCAAGTGGAGAATGTGCGTAGATTTTACGAATTTAAATAAGGCATGCCCGAAAGATTGCTTCCCACTGCCGAGGATTGATCAGCTCGTGGACGCCACAGCCGGGCACGARCTGCTCACCTTCATGGACGCCTACTCTGGGTACAACCAAATCAAGATGCATGTCCCAGATGAAGGTCATACCGCTTTCATAACAGACCAAGGTCTGTACTGCTACAAGGTCATGCCCTTCGGGTTAAAGAAYGCAGGAGCGACCTACCAGARRATGGTGAACAAAATGTTCGCCAAGCAGATCGGCCGGAATATGGAAGTGTATGTGGACGACATGCTTGTCAAGAGCAAGCAGTCTAWGTCGCATCTCTCCGACCTGACYGAAGCYTTCGAGGTCTTGAGGGCATATCAAATGAAGCYCARCCCTGCTAAATGTGCCTTTGGGGTYACCTCGRGAAAATTCCTTGGCTTCATGGTAAACAACCGGGGAATCGAGGCCAAYCCCGAAAAGATYAAAGCCGTGATCGAGATGGAGGCACCGAAAACGCTGAAGCAGCTTYAGTGCCTCAAYGGCAGGATYGCGGCCCTGAACCRGTTTGTTTCAAGGTCGACARACAAGTGCCTCCCTTTCTTCAAGGTCTTACGAAAGAARGGGCCGTTTGAATGGACAGCGGAGTGCGAGCARGCGTTTCAGCAATTGAAGAGCTACCTCTGTTCGGCACCCTTGCTTGYCAAGCCCATRYCGGGGGACAAGCTCCAATTGTACCTAGCAGTGTCTGACAGTGCCGTCAGCTYGGCCCTAATCAGGCAAGAGGAAGCGCGGCAAAACCCGGTCTACTACACAAGCAAGGCTATGACCGAAGCCGAGACTAGATACCCTCARATGGAGAAGTTGGCTCTCGCTTTGGTCACCTCGGCCCGACGACTTAGACCATACTTCCAAGCCCATACCGTGGTGGTGCTCACTAACTTGCCCCTAAAAAGCATCTTCCATAAGCCAGAAGCTTCTGGTCGCCTAATGAAGTGGGCAATGGAGTTAAGTGAGTACGACATCCAGTTTGAACCCAGAACTGCGTTGAAAGGACAAGCCGCGGCAGATTTCATAGCCGAGCTCACACCACCCTCCRAGCTGCGGGAGTCTGACCTACCTTGGACAGTCTATGTCGACGGATCATCCAATGAGAAGGGTTGCGGAGCCGGGGTCCTCTTGCTCGGACCAGGAGGTGAGCGATTTGAGTATGCCTTGCGGTTCAGCTTCCGGACTTCTAACAACAAGGCAGAGTATGAAGTATTTGTTGCCGGCCTGCGAATCGCTCGAGCATGGGGGGCCTCTTGTTTTAAGGTCTTCAGTGACTCCCAGCTGGTTGTGAGCCAGATCAAGGACGAATACCAAGCCAAAGACACCCGAATGGAGAAGTATTTGGACAAGGTCAGATCATACCTCGCCCAGTTTCAAACTTACGAGGTAAGCCGGATTCCGCGAGCAGAAAATTCTAATGCTGACGCCTTGGCCAAGCTAGCATCGGCGTACGAGACCGACCTTGCCAGGTCGGTCCCCGTCGAGATCTTAGATAATCCTTCGATCTCGGAGCCAGATCTGATGGAGATCGGTGCTCCAGAGTCCTCATGGATGGACCCGATCGCGGACTTCATTAAGGGCAACTCACCACAAGACCCCAAGGAGCG